TATCACTTTTCTTGTAGTTCCATGTTTGTTGCTCAGCCAATCGGAAAGCCTATTTCTGTAACTTATACCATTAGGGTAAAAGAATGGGAGAATCTTGACTATTTTACATGTAATAAGGGGTTCGCACAACAGAGACAGACAAATTAAAGGCTTATCTGTAAGTGAATATGTTGTACACAATCATAATTGCTTGTGCTGCATTTTCCTGTACCTGGGAGAAGGCAACTTTAATAAGCGTCATTGTTCCTGTCTGAATAGGAAATCCCTTTCCTCTCCGTTTAACATACTGGGAAATGTACAGTTAATTCTTCTAAAAATGACTATTTCACATCTTACACTAGGAAGATACCAGATCCTCGTTTGTTGGGAAATCTTAAAGAAGACCTAAACCCAATAACAAAAATATTTCAAAGTCAAGTTCAATTTTTCTATAATATCTGGTAATACTGCCATGCAGGTGTCTTGTTCAGGTACCTTTTATAGGGCGATAGCGCTCTGTCCCTGTCTTCCAGCTGCTCTCCTGAGTTGTTACCACATCACATGGGCATCTGATGGAGACTATAGGCCGCCGTGTCAATGCTCAAGGCACAGGCAAGGTCTGTCTTTGACACCATCAGAAAGCCTAAACAATGACCCCTGGCATGCATGTAGACAGAAGTGTTTCACAGAGGCTGTAGGAGAACTGCAGAACTAAAAGGCAAAAAAACCTGCCAATGGTTTATGCTTTGGCAGATGAAATGCCATCCAGCTAGAGTTTATATCTACTTTAAATGTGGCACTGCATTATGATCAATGAAAAAGCAAACAAAACACTATGAGGGGAATTTACTAAGACTGGAGCAGACAGAATCTGGAGCCTCTGTGCATGGCAACCAATCAGCTTTTATTTTTCATTTTGAAAGCTTAACACCAATGTTTAAACTGAGAAAAAGTACAATTTTAACAAAAAAATATATAAAGTAATTAAAAAAAAAAAAAGTTATTTTAATATTATTTTAAGTTCTAGCTGTGTGTATGCATGTTTTATGTAAAACATTCATATATTCTAGGAACAGAGTCTGCACAAAAATAATGGATGCCAAATCTAACCAACAATTGTCTAAGACTTTTAGCCACAATATTATGTTGTGCGATTACATTTATTATATTATACACCATTTTTTATTGATTTTTAAGAAACTGTTTCAGGGGAAAAAAAAAAAATACTCCAGGCTGAGGGTCATTCTTTGTGCTGCAGGAAATAAAGTGCGGCTTACAGTGCAGTGATTGTATTGTTATCTTACTGCTTTTTTGGGGTTTCCCCATCTTGAAAAAAGTAATACTCTTATTGAACAATATTTTCTATCATTTTAACTGGACCAGGCACCCACAACCAATGGTCTTAAAGTGTATTTAAAGCCCAAACCTTTATTTTAGTTTTGGATATAGAGTGGCAGAAAAATATTATCCCCATTATCCTGTGACCACCATTACCAGGACTGAAAGAGAGGGAGAAACCAAAATCTAAGTTGCCACCAGAACAGGAATAGAGAGACAAATCTTCTAACGGGGACACTAGTTCTGGTGACAACTGTGTTAGAGGGGATGTCCTTTATATTGGGTAGGCCAGTTTTTTAATGCCCATGTTTGCACAAGGTCTCTTTTTGAAAAGAGAATTTTAAAGAAAGCTTCCCTCAGAGAAATGTCAAGGCTTTTAGGCCTTATTCACATTGCAGTGTCAAACCCTGTTTAGAAATGACCTCTAGATGCATATAAACACATAAAAGGTGCTGTCAGGATCCAGAGCACCCCCAGGTGGCGCTGGAGCCAGGTCCTGCAGTTCCTGTGCTCGCCTGCGGGTGTCTCCAGCAGCCAGGAACTGTCAGGAACCTACAGCTCCAGTACTCACCTGCGGGTGTGCCCCAGCTGTGAATGATCATCCCATCACCTGGTGCTTCCTGGGAGGGTATTTAGGCCCTCCCTGCAGTCAGGAAGCTGGCTCAGTATTGCATCGCCTGCACCTGACTGACTCCCCTGGCCTGTGCCTTGGAACCTGAACCCTGCTACTTGAACCCTGCTTCCTATCTGCAACCCTGTCACCGACCCGGCTTGTTACCTGACCACTCTCCTTGAATCCTGTTCCTGTACCGCGCTGCCCTCCTGTCACCGACCCGGCTTGTTACCCGACCACTCTCCTTGAATCCTGTTCCTGTACCGCGCTGCCCTCTTGTTAACGACGCGGCTTGTACCTGACCACTCTTCTTGTATCCTGAGGCCTGCCGTATATCTGCAGGCTTGTTACCCCTCCTTGTTGCTATTCCCCCTGGCTGTAGGTGTGTGTTTGTCCCTACGGTGGGTTTGTTACTTCACTGCTAAACCTGTGGGGGGTTGAGGGGCTTTGTAGTTTTGTTGATGTGTAACAAATAAACTGTGTGCATAGAACCCTATCCTGTGTGGGCATATTAATTTGGTCATCCTGCGTGGGTACCTACATGTGGTGTGAGGACGCCTGTGCATGGTACCCTGACACGTGCATGTAACAATTTTTCAATGGTATCAATCAAACTGAGCGTTTAGATGAGGTCAGTTTAGCTGCGTTTAGAGTAAATATGATAGCCTGATTTTACCACAACTTGAAAAGAATGGCTTCCTTCCGCTAAAATCAAGGCGTTCAAAAACAGCGACTATAAATACCGTGACCTTGCTTTCATTGACTGTCATGTCCCACCAATGGCGGTGACTGATTACACAACTAAAAGAACTGCCTGTGTGCGCCCTGCCCGAGTTTTTAGAAAAATAGAAAAATCAATGCGACAATGAAACAATCATACATATAGTGTACACACACACACACACACACACACAATACTTCTAAGTGTAATCTCTAATTATCAGCTTAAAAAGAAAACAACTTTGATGTTGTAAGTAACCCTTAAATCCAGCCAACAGCAGTAATTCAATACCGCGCATACTGTACTTCCAGTGGACCTACAGGCCTAAATCTTAACAGGCTCTTTAACAAGAACGGGCATAGGAAAGCAAAGATCTCAATCATCAGGTTTGCAGATAATGAATTTCATGAATTCCTTTCCTTTTAGGACACATAAGGTCATGTGTGTGTATATATGTATATAAATAAAACACACACACACACAATATTGCCAAAGTATTGGGACAACATCCAAATCATTGGATTCAGGTGTTCCGTGAAATGTCCTTGCTACTAAATATTCCACGCTCAACTGTTAGTGGAATTATAAGAAAGTGGACGCAACAGCAACTCAGCCACGAAGTGGTAGGCCACGTAAAATGACAGAGCGAGGTCAGCACATGCTGAAGCACGCAGTGCACAGAAGTCGCCAACTGTCTGCAGAGTCAATAGCTACAGACCTCCAACCTTCCTGTGGCCTTCAGATTGGCACAACAACAGTGCGTAGAGATCTTCATGGAATGGGTTTCCATGGTCAAGCAGCTGCATCCAAGCCTTATATCACCAAGTGTAATGCAAAGCATCGAATGCAGTGGTGTAAAGCACGCCACCACTGGACTCTAGAGAAGTGGAGACGTGTTTTCTGGAGTGACGAATCACGCTTCTCTGTCTGGCAATCTGATGGACGTGTCTGGGTTTGGTGGTTGCCAGGAGAACGGTACATGCCTGACTGCATTGTGCCAAGTGTAAAGTTTGGTGGAGGGGGGATTGTGGTGGGGGGGTTGTTTTTCAGGGGTTAGGCTTGGCCCCTTAGTTCCAGTGAAGGGAACTCTTAAGGCATCAGCATACCAAGACATTTTGGACATTTTAATTCTCCCAACTTTGTGGGAACAGTTTGGGGATGGCCCCTTCCTGTTCCAACATGACTGCGGACCAGTGCACAAAGCAAGGGCCATAAAGACATGGATGAGCGAGTTTGGGGTGGAGGAACTTGACTGGCCTGCACAGAGTCCTGACCTCAACCCGATAGAGGACCTTTGGGATGAATTGGAGCGGAGATTGCGAGCCTGGCCTTCTTGTCCAACATCAGTGCCTGACCTCACAAATGCGCTTCTGGAAGGATGTGTGTGTGTTTCTAGGGCCAATATTAATGGTTAGACCTCTACAGTATTTTAAAACATTACCTATGGACAATCTGGGGTACTGAATTTTTTCACAGCTTCATTGTCGCATGCAATTTTTAAGCTTGCCATCTTGGGTATCTATTTACTCGGCAAAACCTCATCTTTTATATTTTAGAAAAAAAAGATGGGTATTATATTGTGTTGCGGTGCACTAAAATTATCTTAAGTGAATTTTTGGGTTTGATAAAGAGTTGCTCTAATATCGTACCTAAAAATTTGCAACTGCCACCTTTTTATTTTACAGGGTCTCGGCTTTCAGAAAAAGTATAATTCAGAGGTGGAAGTTGAGGGTTTAAGTAATTCTCAAGCCTAAAATGTGGATTATAACCTGCAGCAAACGCTAAAACAGCTCTGGCAGCGAAAGGGTTGAAGCCCAACTCAGACAATTGTTTTTCTAAATAGTCCCCCAGCATGGGTTTAAAGTAAAAATGTTGCTTTATCTGCAATACATATCTCCTTTCCAGGGATGTCCCCCGCAGTGATCCTTTTTGCTTCTAGATGTCCTCAGTCATCTGGGTTAAGTGAGTGGGCAGGATCACTCAACTTGGTAGACAAGGTGTAGGGTTTCATGGACATGCCCCCTGATGAAGCCTTATCATAGCCGCCTGCACTCACAGTGTAATGATGGAAAAAGTGGCACTGACATCAACACGTCAGCAATGCTCTCTGTATCATTTATTACCACCGGAGGAAGACCCAAAGAGTTAGAGGGCTTGTATGTCATATCACTGGCTGGATTATCTGGTAAAGGTAAGCACCGGGAAAAGAAAAAAAAATCATAATATACAGCTGGGGGCCTTCGAAGGAGTGAGGGGGATCACTAGGGGGGTTAGAGGGGGAGGGAGCCCATTATCGTTAAATTTACTACAACAACTCCGTCAAGATCATAAAAGATAGCAGCTACTTACCACTCCAATCCCCTCAAAAGCAAAGATAGCAGTCCCGAAGAAGAGGGGGTAGGTTTTCCAGCTGGCAGCATAGGAAAGATGAGTGGGGTCTGGAATATCCTAGAATGGGGAAAGAATCAACCAATTAATGCTCTTTGTAGACTCATGAATCAGGAAATGCTAAGTTTGGGGGCTAACATAATAAGAGACACTGAAGATTTATTATATGGCTTACTTTCAGTGCCTTGGAATCAAGAACAAAATTACATGGCTTTAAACAAATCCAGCAAAATAATGTTTTTTTAGGTTTATGAAGCAGGGATGGGTCCAGATCAGGATGATTAAATAGATAGGAATTCTTTTAACTTGAATAGAAGAGTATGACCTCATTGCAAATTAGGTTAATGAAAAATAAATGTAATTAGAGAATCTCAAAGTCTTGAAAGTGTCCGAAATGGAGGCTGCTGATACAGATACATAAGATACAAGGAACAGGGGTGTCTCTAAGGGTACTAGTTGATTCACAAATGCCTTCAAATAAATCTACACTGCTCACATAAATGTGTGGCCCGATCACACACAACTGTATATCACAACAATGCATGCATGCAGCTATACCCACTTGGAATAAAAAAAAAACCCTCCCCATCTCTAATTAAGATTGCCTTTACACATGATTAACCCAGAGGTAGACTACCAAGGCACTGGAGATGTTTTGGAACTCCAAGTCCCAGGAGGCACTGCAAGATTAGACAGTCACAGAAACAGAGGCATGATGGAATTTGTTGTTTGACAATTAAAACCAAACACAGATTTACTACATTAGCTATAACTATATATCGTGTTTCCCCCGAAAATAAGACCTACCATGAAAATAAGACCTAGTACTATTTTTGGGAATTGCTAAAATATAAGACCTACCCAGAAAATAAGACCTAGTTGTGACCATTCCCGGGGCCGGTGGTGGCATAAGGGGGGGGGGGGGGAAAGCGGGGGGGG